CGCAAATTGCTTGCTGCACGCAGTTCCAGCATCCCTCTCAAAAACAATACGAAATGCACTTCGAGGCAAAATCTGGATCATGCGCGGGCACCTCGCGATCCCTGTGCATTGGTTTTGGACTCGGATAGCCGGGGTGCTGGCATAGTGCCTGCTGCGCACAGGCCCACCAAACACGATGATGGCCCCCCCGCCGCGATTGCGCGCTGGTTTTCGACGAGGCTTGTGGGGGGCGACGCGCTTCCCGAGGTGTCCACGTGCGCAGGAGCACCTGGCCCACTTTGCGCGTGCCCCGCACGTGGCGCACCTGGCGCGGCTGGAGCATGCGGCGCACGCGGCGCACGTGGATCACGTGGCGCGTCTGGCGCACCTGGCGTGCCCGTCACGCTTGGGCCACAGGGGTGCCTGGCGCACCTGGCGCGCGTGGCGCGTCTGGCGCACATCGCCCCAGAGCTGCGCACACGGGGCCTTTGTGGGTTCCCATGAGCTGTCCGTCCAACTACTGCCGCTGAACACGCTGCAGCTCGGGTGCTACTTCTGTGTTGGGAGGGCGGGCTGGAGTGAGCGAGACGGCTTGCGGGCGGGGAGGGTGCCTTGACCCCTCCCCCTACCCCTTCCCCCTGGACCTGGACAGGGCGTTTCGCGAGCAGTTGGGGCGTCCAAAACGGCCTCGGCGAAAATGCCAAAATCATTGATTCGACTAAGGTGTCTCCAAAAGGGCACTCAGGAAGGTCCGAAGAGGCCCAAATCCATCGGTTTTGACGGATTCGGGCATTTGCTTCTCTTCGGTATTCGGACGGCCCGAGACGGCCCAAGAGCCCCCCGGAATCGCCCCACGATCGCCCAAGAGGCATCCAAGATGGCCCCAGAATAGCCAAGCAGGCCCTCAAGACGGCCCAAAGAGGGCCCCAGGACAGGCCAAGAGGCTTCCAAGACGTCCAAGATGGCCTCCAAGACGGCCCTGGAGCGCCCCAAGAAGGCTCGAAGGCGGTTCAGAGAGGCTCCCGAGACGGCTCCCGACGGCGGCAGACAGGCCAGGAACGCCCCAAGACGGCCAAGGAGGCCCCCAAGAGGCCTCCAAGAGGCCCGCAGGAAGCTCCCAAGAGACCCCAGGAGTGGCCCCAGAGGCTCCCAAGAGGCCTCCTCCTCCTTTTTCTGTTTCTCCTCCTCCTCCTCCTCCTCCGCCTCCTCCTCCTCCTCCTCCTCCTCCTCCTTCTCCTCCTTATACTCGTTTGTCCTGTTCCTCCTCATTGTCCATGTTCCCCGAAAGGTTTCAACGACGGCTGGGGTAACACATGGTCAGGTAGCTCTAGCCCAACCTTCGGCCGCATAAGCGCTTCCAGACCAGAAAGGCAGGGGGCGGCGGTGATTCGCCGTAGGCGTCTTCGATCCGCCGCTCCCTGCTGATTTACCAAAAGGGGTGCCTGGCGTGCCGAATGTTTGGTTGCTTCGTCCTCGTTTAATGTTAAAGGTATATATATAGAGAGAGAGAGAGAGAGAGAGAGAGAGAGATAACACGAGAGAGAGAGAGAGACGAACAAACATATAAAGAGAGAGAGGGAGTGAATAGAGAGACAGAAAGAGAAAAGAGAGAGAGAGCCAGAGAGAGTGAGAGTGAGAGGTACGGTAAATAGAGAAAGAGAGAGAGAGAGAGATGGATACCGAAAGAAAGGGAGAAAGGGAGAGAGAGAGAGAGAAACAAGAAAAAACATAAAACAAAAAGAGAGAAAGAGAGAAAGAGAGAGAGAGAGAGAGAACGAGAGAGAGAGGGAGGGAGGGAAAGAGAGAGCCGTGCAGACGTCGATCCCTCCCCTACCGCCGGGGCGGAGTCCTGTGAAAGAGGTGCATGCAAGGCAGCCTCATCAGCTCATCACCAACCTCGTACTCTACCAAGCACAGCTCACACTCCTGCCAGGCGTGGGACAAACGGAAGAGAACAGACAAGAGGAGGGGAAGCCGGGAGGGATGGTGTTGGCAATGATTGAAAGGAGAAGACGGCGGACAAGGTGGAGAGTAAGGGGGAAGAGCACAATCCAGGTGCGCTCCCACAACCCTGCCCATCTCACAAGCCCCTTCCCGTTGCGACGAATACCTTTCTGTCCGCCGACTGGGGCGTCCTGGAGGACATGGATGCCCAAATGGCGGCTGCCGGAGCTGACCCATGAGTCGCTGTGGAATCGGGAACTTGCGCTCTGTTTTACATAGGACAAGGCGGACCGGTGTACAGCCAAGGCGCATCAACGGTGTAGGGTCAGGAACTGTGCTATGAAGTATCGCTCCGCCGGTTCTCACCCACAACGCTTCGCCGCGACACGCGATCCTCTTGCCCGTTCGCAAGCGTCAACGCCCCGAGCTGTTCTGAGCCTCCTGCCCCGTGGAGCGGAACGTCACGCCCTCCGCATGCAGGGCATGGTCAGCTTGCCGCCGGGGCCGCCGCCACAACGCGTGCAGCAAAAGCTCCCGACCGCCACTCTCGGGTCGGGCGAAACGGGGGGGATAGCAAAAGGGGGGGGTGATATTCAGCTCGCGTAGCTGATTTTCCCGGCACCTCCCGGCGCCGGAGGCGGCCATGCATCGAGGAACGGGCCTCTCTCTCTCTCTCGGTGGGGCCGCCGAAGCCGGCTGCACGCAGCAGATTTCGTTAACCCCCCCCCTTTTCCAATCCCCCCTGTCGTCCGGCCCGAAACTCCCCCCTCCTGCCTCCTCCCCCTCCTCCCCAGACCCGCGACGTGATGCTTTTTTCATGACGCGACCCCTCGAGGTCCGGACCCTTTCCCCGGGACCGGCCTGTCATCCTGAGTCGTTTTTTGACGGTCCCGCGGGGGCCGGTGAGGGCCCCCCCGGGGCCGAAAATAGCGAAAAGCCTCCCGTCGTGATTTATTCATGGCTCGAGGGGGTCTGGGGCCGCCCTCGGGGCACCCCGCCGGCCGGGGGAGAGAGCGCCAGCACCCTCCCGTCCCGAGCCGGCTGCACGCAGCAGATTTCGTAAAGCCCCCCTTTCCCGATCCCCCCCCTGTCGTCCGGCCCGAAACTCCCCCCTCTCCTGCCTCCTCCCCCTCCTCGCCGCCCTCGGGGCGCCCAGCCGCCCTGGGGGAGAGCGCCAGCACCCCCCCCGTCCCGAGCCCCCCCCCCCCCGTCAGCAGCCCCCGTCTGCGAGAGAAAGGCGCCGTGCGCGGCGCCCCCTCTCGGAGAGCAGCGCCAGGGGGGCGGGGGGGGCGCAGCGAAACAAATTTTAAATTGTGCAATTTCTAGTTGTGTAGAATTGATAGATTCATATGTCAGGATTTCACACGAAAAGCCTCGAATAACCAAGAAAAAGAACTACAGCTCCAATTGACAAACTCTACCATTGACAAATGTGAAGATTCACCGAGGAACGTTTTGGGCGTGTTCTTTTTTATTCCAAGTTCAAGTATTCCTACAAACTGCAGCCACGCCGGAGCGGAGGAGCCGTCCATCCCTCGGCCTGGAAATCTGGACGCCTCGACCTAAAAAAGGGGTCTGGACCTCTGGGGGTCGCGCCACGAAAAAAGCATGGCGTCGGGGGTCTGGGTCCGTGCCGCGCGGACGACGACGACGTCGGGACCACGACCCCAAGGGATTTGGACGCCCGGAGTGGGTACGGAAAACATGGGTACAGTCGGTTCGTGCGGCGTCGGCGCGCGCAAAGATTTTTGACACCGCGTCGATCGTTCAACCTTGAACCGATCGCGACTCCGATCGTTCAAGGTTGAATCCCGTCGGGTCTAGTGGCGTTACCGTGTCCATCGAAGCTGCCGCGTCGTGGATTCAACCTTGAACGCATTCGTCGGCGTCGCAGGCGCGCCAACGCCGCACGAACCGACCGTACAATGCCCAACAACAGATGTTGTCCCAAACCAACAGCGGCCGCTGTTGGGCAGGCGGCCTCCTGTCTCGAAGTGACACAGGCCGCGGCGGCGTGGACAGCGAGTCCTGTTCAAAATGAACAGGAACTGCTGTTGGGCATTGCACCCATTCTTTCCGTACCCATGTCGGGCCTCCAGAGAAAGGGAATTCGCGAACGTGGAAACACACGGCCGGACCCAGGACAGAAGAACATCCTTAAAAATGCATGGGGCCCTCTGCCGGCCAAGAACACACAGAGCATCCAAGGGTGTATCCTCCCCAGGGTGCACAAGAATAACCAACAAGCACGAAGAACACTAGGATATCCTCCCCGAACCGACCTCGATCCTATACCCCGGCCCTGGCTCGATGACCCCGGATGCTCCTCGATGGTCCCCGCCGAGAAAAACGCACACGTCCGAGCGATGCCAAGTGGGGCGGAAGAGCCGCCCATCCTTCGAACTAGAAGGGAGCGCGCGAGCGTGGAACACACTTCTTCCGCCGGCGGCGAGGCAGAGGCTGTCCGCTCCAGCGGGAGGCGACTCGGGGCCACCGAGTGGCGATCTGGCTGGCATGCCATCGAGGGGGGAAAAGGGCTAGGGCGGCCGTGCAGAGGACCAGAGGAGGAGGAGAGAGCCACTCCGACGTGGCAGACTTCCGCGTCGAGAGGGCCGGTGCGGCCAGCCGTGGCAGCAGCCGGCGAGTGCGGAAAACACAGGCAGCGACGGCCCCGCTTCGAGGAGGAGCTGCCGTCCATCGACGGCAGGCGCTACGCAGTGTCAAACGGCTGGTCGTAGCAACCAGAGATGCAACAGGCGACCCAAAAAAAGAATCGTGCTCCAATTCGTCCACTCACTGATCAGCTTCGCACTTCAACCTTTTGCTCAGCTTCGCACTTCCAGCAACATGCGCGAGCAAAAGCCACATCAAAGAGAGAACCGCCCTCCTCTCGTGCAACTGTTGTTCGGCTTCGCACTTCGAGCAACATGCGCGAGGAATTATCAAGCGAGAGCCGCAACACGAACAAGAAACACGCCCGCGGAGGGGCACGCGGTCGGGGAAGAGAAAACAGGCCACCGACGACGACGAAGACGAACGACGAACGACGACAGCGAGGCCGACAGACGACACGGCGACGGCGACGGACGAACGAACGCAGCAGCGCGAACGACCAGGGAAGGGGGGGACGGGAGGGGGAGGAGGCCAGGAGGCTCCTGGAGGTCATGGTGGCAGTCCGGGTTGTACTTCTCGCGCGGCAGCTCGGCGACGAGGTGCGCCTTACGGCTCGCCTCGATGGCCTGCTGCAGCATCCGGTCCGCGTCCTGTGCCCGCTTCGTCGCCGCCGCCGTCGTCGATGTCGCCGTGGCGTCCTGGAGTCCACCTCGTTGTCGCCGTCGTCGTCGTCATAGTTGTCATAGTCGTCGTCGTCGTCATCGCCGTTGTCGTCGTCCCCATCGTCGCCGTCGTCGCCGCTGTCGTCGTCGTCCTCCCCCTCCTTCTCCACCACCCGCATGAGTCACCTCTTCCTCCCCCTCACTGTCCCTTCCCCGCCTCCTCTTCCGCCCCCTCCTTCTGGCCTCTTCTTCCTCCTCTTCCTCCTGCTAGTACTAGTACTAGTACTAGTACTAGTACTAGTACTAGTACTAGTACTA